TTTGTTCTGTCTCTGTCTATCTAGCTATCTATCTATCTATCATTTGTTCTGTCTCTGTCTATCTAGCTATCTATCTATCTATCATTTGTTCTGTCTCTGTCTATCTAGCTATCTATCTATCTATCATTTGTTCTGTCTCTGTCTATCTAGCTATCTATCTATCTATCATTTGTTCTGTCTCTGTCTATCTAGCTATCTATCTATCTATCATTTGTTCTGTCTCTGTCTATCTAGCTATCTATCTATCTATCATTTGTTCTGTCTCTGTCTATCTAGCTATCTATCTATCTATCTGTCGTTCTATCATTGTATTTGTCGTTCTTTCTGTCGTCCTTTCTGTCATTCTATCTATATCTATCTATCTATCATTTGTTCTGTCTCTCTCAGTCTATCATCTATCTATCTATCATTCTCTCTATCGTTCTATCTATTGTTCTATCATTCTATCATTGTATTTGTCGTTCTTTCTGTCATCCTTTCTATCTATCTATCGTTCTATCACTCTATCGCTCTGTCTAACTGTTCTGTCTATCTATCTATCTGTCGTTCTATCATTGTATTTGTCGTTCTTTCTGTCGTCCTTTCTGTCATTCTATCTATCATCTGTCTATCTATCTATCTATCTATCTATCTATCTATCTATCATTTGTTCTGTCTCTCTCAGTCTATCATCTATCTATCTTTCTGTCTTTCATTTTGTGTCGTTCTATCTATGTCTGTCTATCCATTGTTCTATCGTTCTATCTGTCTGTCATTCTACCGTTCTATTTATTCCTTCCATCAATCCATCCATCTATCTATCATTCTATTGTTCTATCATTCTATCTGTCTGTCGTTCTACCATTCTATTTATTCCTTCCATCCATCAGTCCATCCATCATTCTTTCTATTGTTTGTCTATCGTTCTTTATCTGTCTGTCTGTCTATTCATGCAGGTAGTCAACTGATTGACCAAGTGAAATGTGACGTGCCAAAGTTCACGTTGTACTGCAGCAGGTGTTTTTTCAGATTCTTCCTACTGTAACCGCTCACTCACGAGAGATCCAGCACCGAGAGATGCTGATGCGTGTAGTATTTCTAAAACAAACAAAGGGGAGGCATTGTTACTATAGCAACCAAATGACTGGCACTTTGAACCTTGAATGCAGAATGTTTTTCCTTTAAAGCACTGCAAATATTTGTTATCAAATTTTCATTCTGTATAGTCATAGTTCATAAAGGTATAGAAGAGTTTGTGCAACAATGCCGGATGTTTGACTTTTTTAAGATTTCCCACTTCATTGAAAGCATTGTGACATGAGTCTGTTTCAGTTAAAGGTGTGTACAGAGCTAATCTAATCATTGGCCATTAGAGCCAAATCTCATCTATCTTCCCCAAAAAGGCTTGGGGTTTGTTTTGATGGACATCCTATAATAAGCCAGGAGTCTCTTGGCATTAATGAATCCCTATATTTGGATAAGATGGTTTTTTTTGTGATCGGGAAAATCCCCTTTTCACATGCCTTCCACGTTTAGGACATTTCCTGGTTGTGCGGGCAACAAAACCATCTTTTCTGCTTTTGTGCAAAGATGCAATTAGAAACATTGTGGCATGTTGCTCGGCTGAAAGATAAAACAATTAGACCTGACGCATGTTTTGCGGGTTGCACATGAGTTTGTTGATCGATGCACGGATACTGTAATTTGATGCAGTTGGATTTGCATCTGTTTAGCATGGGAAGCAAACGCTGTTTGACTTGTTTGATATGAAGCACATTGACTCTCCAGGGATCCAGCCCTGTCATAACATAATCAGCACTGACCCATTAAAAACCAGCTTGGGTTGAACTCTTTGTTTTGCTTTTAAAAAGCATTGTACACTTTTATCTTCTCTCTTGGTTAAACCTCGGGTGTTGCCACTTCAGTTGTCTAATGCATCACTTCTTAATGTGTTTCCATTTTGGACCTGCTACACAATCAGCGTGTTTAATAGTGATCTCCATTCGCATGAATCCACTGAGAGAAAAGAGAAAAATAACATTCTTTTGGCTTCTTCTAAAAGATCAATAACCTGATTTCTATAGTTTGTATTTGGTACTTATAATATCTGCAGAGAGACGGTTGAATTTGACCTGTATGATTGTGAAGAGCAGATTAATTTTTGTTAGGGCATAACTGCACTATAATGTTTCCTTTTATCAAACAACCTTTTCTGTATTGTATTTACCTATTTAAGTTTTTTAAATATGCAATTGTAGAATTGCCATTTTTCTTCATTGGCACTGCAAAAGCCTAATGCACAGATCTGATTTTTTAAAACGTGTGACATCAGGCATTCTATGATTTTTCTATAATTCTGTACTTCTTAAAATTGTAAGATTAAATGTTATACAAAAAGATTTTAAATTTTAGACAAATAGTGTAAATAAATGTTTATACAAAGTTTTTATACATTTTTTTTTAAATGTTATACAAAAAGATTTTAAATTTTAGACAAATAGTGTAAATAAATGTTTATACAAAGTTTTTATACATTTTTTTTTAAATGTTATACAAAAAGATTTTAAATTTTAGACAAATAGTGTAAATAAATGTTTATACAAAGTTTTTATACATTTTTTTTTAAATGTTATACAAAAAGATTTTAAATTTTAGACAAATAGTGTAAATATAATAAAATAATTTATATCAAAATAATTACATTTATTAATTTATTATAAATTTCAATATTTAATTAAATTAAATATTTAATTATTTATTAATAGTAAATGTATGTATATATTGAGGATAACATTACAAGCCCTTTGCCCAAATGTCATGAAACTTACAATGGTTTTCTAAAAAGATGTTTAAATATTGTTTGTGGTAACATCCCTAATTGATAAAAGTTTTTGTTTTTTTCAACTAAAAAGCAACATATCAGACCGAGAAAATATTAGCTTGTAAAAGGTTGACCCTGCACATTAAATGCAGCCTTTTTTGTTGAAAGAGAATGTTTATTGCTCTTTTATAAGATAAAGTGCTCCATTAAGTGGTTATGAAAAAGAATATTATAAACCACTTTGCACATGACCAGCAATGTCTTTTAAGAAGCAAAATATAACATTTGTGCCATGTAAAAAGCAAATGGGTGTGATGCAAATGGGAAAATGCTAACTGAAAATTTCATACTTGTTTAGTTATGTAGTTGAAGTTGCTAAATTTTGTGGATAGTCAAAAATGCAGATGGGGAATTGTTTGGGAAACCTGTAAGCAGTGGTGCTTGGCATTGCCTGGTGGACAATAAAAGTGGCAGAAAAATCTAGTAGGTTTTGTGCTGCAAGTAGGGTTAAAATCTCCCAAAGCAGCTTTAACTGCAGCAGCACATTTACATTCCTCAGAGCCTCAACGTTTTTCCAAAAACTGAGTAGGATTTGGCTTTATTTGTACAGATATGCTCGTGGCCCTTCGCTGATCGGTTCACTTCCTGCAGTCACAGAGGGGATGAAGGACTCCTCTCATTCTGAAAGAGCGGCCTTCCTTTGAAATCCTCACTCAGCTGAACCGAGAAGCAAAACAGGAGTGTTACATAACAAGAGAGAGGGAAGGAGAAAGAGCTTTTCAACAGCATCGACAGCATCTTTAGATATTGTCGGTGTCTCTCGATAGGTTTGTGTTTCCGGTGACAGAGGTGTTGCTTTTTAGAAAATGTCTGGTTTTCCACCAAAACCTACGCGAAGGTTTCACCTTCTTCTGTTGTGGCTACAGTTTGAAAGATACACAGCGGCACCATGGAAGCACCATTTTTCCCCTAAATAACCTTTCAGAGAACAGTTCTTACCATTTTTTCTTAATGTGAAGAACATTTTAAAAATGCAAACAACCTTTTTTCACTGGAAAGAACATTTTGTAGAATGAATAGGTTCCATTGGACATTGAAGGTTCTTCATGGAACCGGAGATGCCAATAAAGACCATTTATTTTTAAGAGTTAAGACTGGAACATTCAACTTGAGATTTAAAATTGACTCTATCTACTTTCACTATGTTCTAGTCATAGTGCTCTTTTAAGGGATTCATGCTATTTTAAAGGACTTTCTCATTGAATACCCTGTTGCATTTGGAAATGTGTGTGTGTGTGTGTGTGTGTGTGTGTGTGTGTGTGTGTGTGTGTGTGTGTGTGTGTGTGTGTGTGTGGGCGAGTTCACATGTGTGACAGATCATACAAACCCTTTTGAAGTTCAGCCTGTACACTGGGCTTCAAAGACAGTCAACATTATTTAGATTTTTTTTTAGATATAAATGAATTGAATTAATGTAACCCAGGAGTTTCCCAAAGTTGCTTGTCAGCTGAACCTTTTAGATGTCAAATATTTACTTAAAGTACCCCCTGAATTTATATATATTTTTTTTCAGTAAATGTTAATTATTTTGATTTGAAAATAACATTGCACATTACATTCCCAAAATGCATGCGTTAAACTCACAGCGCATACAGAGATAGAGACTGTGAGAAGCAGCGTTTAGTGTGAAGTGAGCCACTTTGAGCCACTGTTAATTATATTGTGATTTCTATTTCATTTTGATTAATTGTTCAGTTCCGTGCAGCTCCTTTATGAATCCCCAAGGGTTTGCAAACTGCCATTTGGGAAATGCTGATGTAACCAAAAAGAGCATAAAACGAACCAAAAAGTGTGCTGCTTACAATTAAACGAGTAAAATAAATCCCATAGACTTGCATTGAAGTGAGCAATGTAGTTTTTTTTTGTTTTTTCTTTCTGAAAAAGGACTGGCAGCTAACATCACACAGGCACGTATTTGCTCTCATTAATTAGAAGTGGCTCTTTTCTCTCAAATGAACGATTTAGAGTTTTTGTTGTTGTTTAATTAAATAATTTCAAGTGTCCTGATTTGCTCCCACACTGTGACCAAACCACACATCTGAACAGATGATCATGAATGAAGGATGCTGTACCAATGATCTTGATCGTAGATCCAGAGTTTGAACGTAAACCTGACCTCCGACCCTTACCTCTGTTCTAGGCACGGGTGAGAGCGGCAAGAGTACGTTCATCAAACAGATGCGTATCATCCATGGCACCGGGTACACAGACGAAGACAAACGTGGATTCACCAAGCTAGTGTACCAGAACATCTTCACCTCCATGCAGTCCATGATCCGTGCCACCGAGACCCTGAAAATCGGCTACAAGTATGAGCAGAACAAGGTGAGAATGATTCATGTTGAGTATTGAAGTTAGACGGTTTTAAGGGTGGAACTGATGAAAACATGTCTAGGTCATATTTCACACCTAAATCAAAAGACGTGTAATTTCTGCTCCACTAGTTATCGCCAAGCTCAATTGCAAAAAACTTTCCAGAAACAATTTCGCTCGTCACCTTTAAATAAATAGTTCACCCAAAAAATGAAATGTACTTACCCTCAGGCCATCCAAGATATCCAAGTTTGTTTGGCCATCCAAGTTTGTTTCTTTGTGGGAACAGATTTGGAGAAATTTAGCCATATCACTTGCCCGCCAATGGATCCTCTGGAGTGAATGGGTGCCGTCAGAATGAGAGTCCAAACAGCTGATAAAAACATCACAATAATCCACACCACTCCAGTCCATTAATGCCTTGTGAAGCAAAAAGCTGTGTTTCTAAGAAGCAAATCCATCAAGATATTTTTGAAGCAACTTTAAACCATTGCATCCAGCTAAAATACCAGTCCTCTCTCCATAATATAGCTTTCTCCAGTGAAAAAGTTTGTCTCGTCTGAATCAGGTGAGAAATATGCACAGATCACGATTCATTTATAAGCTAAACAAATATGTAGGTGGATTTTGATGTGGGAGGACAACAGGGGATGGATTTTCTCCCTGGAGGAAGCGTTATTATGGATTATGGCTGGAAGAAACAGTTTGAAGTTAAAAATGTCTTAATGATGGATTTGTTTCTTACAAACATGCAGCTTTTGGCTTCACAAGATGTTAATTGATATACTGGAGTGGTATGGATTGCTTGTGGATTATTGTGATGTTTTATCAGCTGTTTGGACTCTTATTCTGACGGCACCCATTCACTACAGCGGATCCACTGGTGAGCAAGTGATATAATGCTACATTTCTCCGAATCTGCTCAGTGAAGAAACAAACTCATCTACATTTTTAAAAAGATTTAGATTAAAATTGTCTATATTTTAGCTGCTGTAACTGGTTGTCGTTGCCACCAGCCATTTTAACCATGAATTGTTTTTCACCATTCACATTTTGCTTTGGTGTGGCAAATGAAAAAAGTACATACATTCCATGCGGTCTCACTATTAATAAGATGTCATACATAATAGAAGCGCCATAATTATAGAAGGACCAGAGCATGTTTAAAATAGGTTAGATGGAGTATTGCACATCTGCACTGCTGTAGATTATCAATATTTTTCTCCATTGCTTTTGCCTTAAACTGTTCACTGCTCTGGGCTGCAGGCAAACGCCATGCTGGTGAAGGAGGTGGACATTGAGAAGGTGTCGTCATTCAACCAGCCCTACATTAGTGCCATTAAGATGCTGTGGACAGATCCAGGCATTCAAGAGGCCTACGACAGACGCAGAGAGTACCAGCTGTCAGACTCCACGAAATAGTGAGTATATCTGTCATCATCTTTGTATTGAATATAGTATGATTATTAATAAATAACAGTTTTAAATATGCACACTGTTGTGTATCCTCACAATCTACATTAACTCAAAAATGACCCTGTTTACTTTCCTAATATGTGTTCCTGGTGATATTGTGAATGATTAATTGGTGCATGTTATTTCATTGTAAAAAATTTGTACATCTGGAATTTTGTCATTGTTTGCTCATCCTCACGCCATTCCAAACCTGTGTGACTGTATTTCTTCCGTGGAACACTAAAGGGGATTTTTTCCCATGCCGTTACAGTGAATTAGAACTGGGGCTTTCCGGCTTGCAGAAGTTTGATTTGACTCACGTACTCTAGTCCAGTGAATCTCAACCTTTTGGCGTACCGGACCCCAGTCCAATTCAGAACCATCCTCAAGGACCCCCAGAACAAAATTGACTCGTATCATTTGTGTCTTTGTGAGGACCAAATGCAGTCAAGTATAATTCAAGTTAGCTGACTTGTCCAGTATTTGGCCATATCATCAGCTATATTGGATTTTTCTTTCATGGGAACATGTCATGTCAAAATATACCAAATTTATACAAAAATTCATACTTTATACGGACCCCCTGGCCTTATGTCAAGGGCCACTAGGGGTCCACGGACCCCTGGTTGAGAAACACTGCTCTAGTCAACTGAACTAGACTGAAATTGTGAGTCTTTAATCACTGATTCTTTGAAAGAAAAAAAAAACTAATTCAAAAGGTAAGTTTGAATTCTGAATCCCACATCGCCATTTCTCATGAACTCTGAACGAGAGCAATTTTCACTGAATAACTCGCACAATGCTATCATGTGACTTCAGAAGATTTACAATATAGCACACGAGTCATATAGACTACTTTTATGATGCATCTGTGTCCTTTAGAGCTTAAAAGCTCATGCTCGTATTCATTGTAAATGACAAATACAATTCTTAAGAAATTCTCCTCCTCAGTTAAAAAGTCATGCAGGTATGAAACGACAGGAGGGCGAGTAAATGAATTGTTATTTTTGAATAAATATGACTTTCATGCTAACCGATATCCAAGATGTTATTAAATCTGGAAAAAGGAGGGGGGGAATCAATTTCTGTATAAAAATATCTTGTCTTTCACCTTGTGCAACACATACAAATCAATTAATGTCTCAAAGACTGTGTTTTAGTGTTTTATGACCCTTTTTCTGAATGGGTTTGTGTCCATGTCTCTCTGATGATGAGTTTGGCGGCAGTCAGTCTTGTCCTATTTCTTTTACTGGCCCAATAAAATATAGAGGCAGTGCGTATTTCACCACATTAATGCACACAGGTGTATGAAGCCTGGAGTCTGTTCAAGAATCATTGGCATCATGTGAATCACACCCCCTGCTGGTTTGCTGGGGTAAAACTGGTCACATCAGTGCAGTAGGATATATTTGGGTGACAGCAATAAATTTAACAGATTTACACAAATTCAACTAATAAAATTAGAAATAATCATTTATTTAATAACTTGACTCTTTATTTATATAAATGTATAGTTAATTTGTGTCGACAGCTGTGGCAAACTACAGAATTTGACTAAATATCTTGCTACAAAACGCAAAGGTATTGAAATGAATCAGTGAATCGTTTTTTGAACAAGTTCATTTACATGAACCATCTAAATGAACATTTTCGACCAAATTAATCTAGACTTTTCCAGCACTACATATGAGAAGATGGGATGTTCTACAATAGTATATTTTCTGTAAATAAATATTCTGCAGAATATATTGTAGTTTAATTGGTTAAAAAACAAATATATTGTAGTTTCATTGGTAAAACGAAGGTCAGGGATGTATATGGCCACAATTACTGGTTGTAGATACTGTTTAAGGTCAGCAAGGTTTTTTTTTTTTTTTTTTTAAGTACTCAATTTGTAAGATTTGTACAGCATTTGCTTAATTAACCATGCAACATAATGAGGTCATGTGACAACATTGTAGCCAGACTACTGATTTACATGCTATTAAAAATCATATGCAATGTACAGTATGCATGTTAAATTCAGTAAATGCAATTGAGGAGTATATATATCAGGGGCGTTTCCTCCGAGGAGGCAAGGGAGGCAGTGTCTCCTCAAAAAGTTTGATGAGAAAATAATCGATATTACAAAAATAAATCAGCGCAAATATGACTAAATATGATATTTAAAGTCCAAAAGTCACTCGTTTTTATAAAGTAACACACTGTCCTACAGGACACCCACAGGTAAAGTTACAGCGGAGGCTTGCCTCCCTTCAGTCCATTGACTTTCTACAGAGACCCCAAAGCGTGCCGTGACTTTTCTGGAGGCTCATTGAGATGAATGGGGGAAAGTCACGTGAGAGGAGGCAACGCCTCCATCAAGGAAAGCTCATTGTGGGACTGGCTCGTAGTGGCTGAAATTCTGCACCAAGGCTGAATTTCGGGAAAGAGACTTCAGATACAGTACTAGGGACCACTTAGGCCTATATAAAAGCATCCATAAAGCAGCATGTCATGGGACCTTTAACAAACACAACTTTTGATTTTAATAATGCATTAGTAAATGTTGAAATTAATATTAACTAAGATTAATAAATACGGTAGAAGTAGGCTATTGTTTATGCTTAGTTCATGTTAACTAAAGTTGTTAACTAATGCAATCTTATTGTAAACTGTTTCCAGAATATTGTTCAAATTGTTACTGCCTTTAGTTATTATTTTGGAATAAATATAAAAATGCATAAAAAAAACGTCACTTAATTTGACACCTTTTCTTTGATGATGAACCAGCCAGGCCGACTTATCCAGAACGTCTAGATGGCCAGTCCGCCCCTGTATATTTATATGTATATGTATATACTACTGTTTAGTGAGCATTCAGCGTGATGAAATGAAAGATATATCTTCGTGTCTGTGGCAGTGTTTACAGAGCTTTTTTGACGATGACCCAAAATAAGTTGACTATTAAAAAGAACAGCGGAACATCAGTTCATAAATGAAAAATATTGGTAACATTTTACAATAAGATGTCATTTAATGAGTTAACTAACATGAACAAACAATGAACATTTATTACAGCATTTATTAATCTTTACAGTTGTTCATTGTTAGTTCACAGTGCATAAACTAATGTTATAATTAGTATTAAAAATATTAAATTAAATAAAAAATAATATTAATAAAATACAAAATAGAATTATATTTGTTCTCTTTTTTGTAATATTTATGTATAAATATATATTTATATATAAAACTGCCTCCTCATTTTAAAACACCGCACGCCACTGATATATATATATATATATAGGCTATGAATAAAAGCAAAATAATTTTTTTTCTGATGTAAGCATCAAAACAATGCCCTAACGTATTGCAACGCATCAAAGCAGTCAATCCAAGTCAAGAATAACTTAAAGAGGTTGCCACCGTTTAGTAAACTGTGAACTAGAGGTCTGCATTCCCGCGGGACCCAACCAGATTTTTTGCGCCGCGGGATTAAATTCCCCAATAAAACGTGGTAGCGGTCAGTAACTCTGGTGTAATTTGAACGGGAGTGGGCGGTCTCACAATATCCCGTTCCCGATGTCCATTCAGAACAGCATATCTGCTCTTTATTCTTATTGACCACCGGTATGCACTCGGACACGAGCTGCACGCATGCTTTCTGTGCCACGCATTTTACTTGCGTGGTCTGTGCGCAGCATGTGCATAACGATGCTCAGAGCAGGATGTACCTGTGGTAAATATACGGCCCACAGACAGGTTGTCGATGAGTGACAGAACAGAATAAGGATGGAGCAAAGTGTGGATGCGCTGTCCTTGGTGATGCTTCCCGTTTGTCGGTTGATGATGGCCTTTCATTTTTAACCAGAAATGTGCACGCTACTTTTCTGATGTTCACTGAAGTTTTCCGTGTCTTTTTCCCATGTTACTTGTAATGTTTCCATTTTGAATCGTTGTTACCAAAGGCGAGACATGTGAGGAAAAAATAAACGATCAGTTGTGGGACTATATTCTGTCATAAATTGCATACCATTCATTGCTAAACTTTCTACTGTCCGTTACTGGAAATGAAATAAAATTACTGGTTGATATATCCTGATCTCAATAAAGTTTACACACGCTTTTGGTCCGTGAATTAGATCTCGCTCGGGATGAGCGCTGACTGTGGAGTTTTGGCCAGGACCGGTTCCAGAATTAAATCAACATATTTTATGTTCCGTCCATTGCCAATCACTGCTATTTCGAGAGTGAATCCCGCATAAATATGTGGATGTCATTCCCGAAACTTTGCAGGATGTAGCCTATATGTCCGAAAAACGAAAGTTTCATACAAATTCTGAATGGATTATACCCTAGAAAGTGCGCAAAACGTGCTCCCTTTATCACTAAAAAGCTTCACTCATCTTCACCGCGATCTTACAAAGTTCCATTATAATCAATGAAGCGCTCTAAACTCTAAATCTCTAAATTATATTTATATATATATATATATATATTTTGTGCAAGAAAGTAAAAAAAAAAATATATATATGTAACGTTAAAAAATTACTAACATGGACTTCCGGTTGGCATGTGTGGGTAGTAGCTGCGTCTCACCTGCACTCCCACAGTTTTAATTATAAAGTTTATTTTTTAGCCAATCAACTACTTACTAAACCAGTATATTAGTCTGTCTACTACTTTGAAACGTTTTGGGTGATAATGGCACATTAAAACCCATTATAAACGAGGCATTTGATGCATCCAGTGGGGACATAATTACGGATTATAATGACTTATACGAGGACTTCCGGTTGGCATGTGTGGGGAGTAGCTGCGTCTCGCCCGCGCTCCCACAGTTTTAATTATAAAGTTTCTTTTTTGGCCCATCAACTACTTACTAAACCAGTATATTAGTCTGTCTACTACTTTAAAACGTTCTGGGTGATAATGGCTTCGAAATCTAAACACAACACTAGGAAAGACGAAGTTAAGAAAGACGAAGCATAGGCTAGCGGGAGCTTAGTAGATATTGCTACTTTGACGACTCTACTGGAAGAACACAGAGCGGCATTGTCTTCTGAATTTAAATCGGCGTTTTCCACCTTGGAAGCGAAGCTGGACACACTACACACAACTGTGAACGATCATGAACAGCGACTTCTCTCACTTGAAGCAAATGCAGACGCGAGCGGCGTGAGTTTCGGAACACTGGAGTCGAAATACGCAACTTTGGCTGACGAGCACGCTAAACTCAAAGCCAAAGTTATGGATCTAGAAGGTAGGAGCCGGAGAAACAATATACGAATCTTCGGCCTACCCGAGACGATTGAAGGCCCTCATCCGTCCACTTTCTTTTCGGAGCTCTTAGTGGAAGTTTTCGGCGCGAGCCTCTTTGCCTCTCCTCCCGAGTTGGATCGTGCTCATCGCGCCCTCACAGCGAAACCGAAGCCGGGGGAGAGACCTAGATCTGTGATTATTCGCTTTCATAAGTTCCAAACCAAGGAGTTGGTTATTCGCGAAGCCCGCAAGCTTAGAGGAAGGACCCTTAGTGATCCAATATCAATCTCTGAGGTGGTGGAAGCGATCAAACTTCTACAAAGTGGCAAGTCACCAGGTCCTGACGGATTCACCACTGAGTTCTATAAAGTGTTTTCTACATCATTAGCACCTGCACTACAGAATCTGTTTAATGAGGCTTTTTCCAAGGGCTGCTTACCTCCCACCTTATCATTAGCATCAATTACTTTGATTGCCAAGAAAGACAAAGACCCCCTTTTGTGTAGCAGCTATAGACCCATTTCACTTTTGAACGTGGATTATAAAATTTCAACTAAGATTTTGTCCCTGCGGTTACAACAAGTGTTACCTCAAATAATTTCAGCTGACCAAACAGGTTTTATGATTGGAAGACATTCTTTCTATAATACAAGGAAACTTATCAATATTCTCAATATGCCCAATTCAGATGTGCCAGAAGTGGTTTTGGCTCTTGATGCGGAAAAGGCGTTCGATAGAGTGGAATGGAGATATCTATTTCGTGTAATGGAAAGTTTCGGTTTTGATGATGGGTTCATTTCCTGGGTCAAACTATTGTACGTCTCTCCGCAGGCATCCGTGTTAACTAATGGTGTGTTTTCATCTCCATTTTTGCTTCAGAGGGGCACTAGGCAGGCTGCCCTTTGTCGCCTTTACTTTTTGCCATTGCCATTGAGCCCTTAGCTATCTGGCTTCGTGGGGATGCAAATTTTAAAGGTATCAAACGGGTAGATAGAGAGTATAAATTATCCTTATATGCTGATGATCTTTTACTTTTTATTTCTGACCCAGTGGTTTCTGTCCCTATTATTTTGAGCATTCTAAATCATTTCGGTAAAATTTCAGGGTATAAAATTAACTTTCATAAGAGTGAGTTGTTCCCTGTAAATTCTTTGGCAAATAACCTTACACATTCACTTTTCCCTTTTAGATGGGCAGCCGATGGATTTAAGTATTTGGGTATTTTTGTGACCAAATCTTTAACTGGAATGTATGTCTCTAATTTTGTCCCCCTACTTAAAAATTGTGAATCTGACATGGAACGCTGGGCTAACCTCCCTTTTTCTCTTGCTGGGCGTATAAGCCTAATCAAGATGACTGTTCTTCCCAAGTTTTTGTACTTATTTCAACATATTCCAATTTACCTTAAGAAAAAGTTTTTTATGGATTTGGACAAATGTATCACTTCATTTTATGGGGAAATAGGCCAGCTCGAATTAAGAAAACAAGTTTGCAGCTCCCTAAAAATAAAGGCAGTCTCGCACTCCCAAATTGTTTACACTATCATTGGGCTTGCAATACCCAAATCCACTTTTGGCCATTTTTGGGTTGGCAGTAGATGTTAACCTTTCAGTAACGGTCCAAAAGGCTTTAGCCTTTACTACTTTACTAGCAAGACGTCTCATCCTTTTAAAGTGGAAGCACGTCTTACCCCCTTCCTTTGATACATGGCTAAAAGAAGTGTTTACTTGCATTAAATTGGAAAAAATTAGACTGCCACTCACTGGTTCGTTAAAGACCTTTGACAAGGTGTGGCGCCCCTTTTTAGATTATCTGCTGGCTAACTGTCTTGATACTTAAGCCGAGCATTAATATATAAACATACAATTTTTATTTGTTTTTTAAACATAAAGCATTACATTTTTTTATTATTATTATTAAAATGTATTTATTTATAATTTTTTTTCTTTCTTTTTTTTCTTTTCTTTCCCTTTTTTTTTTTTTTCTTTTCTTTCCCTTTTTTTCTCTTTTTCTCGGGTAAAGGGAGGGAAGTATTTAGTGGGGTAGTATTAGCAATAACATGGAAGAATAATTGTACAAAATTAATGTTGTAATTTGTTGAGTTGATATTTCATGCAGAAAATCTAATAATAAAGAAATTTGAAATAAAAATGACTAACATTAATTTCTTTATTCTTTTATCATTTTTTTATTCTAGGAAGATTTGTAATTTTCCAGGATTTAATTGCATGACAATAATGTCACAATGCAATAAAATCTTAGTTGTTCTGAAAACACCTTAATATTCTTTATGCAGAATATAATTTCTAATTTCTTTTGATTTTGGATAGGTTCTTGTCAGTTTTTATGGTGTTTTCCTTCTCATTCGACATTCAATTCAAATAAGCCAGGAAAGAGATTTATCGTTATATACGCCACACTATTTCACTCACATGTTTTTCAGAAATATTAGACAGTATGCAGTGTACATTCTGCACATAAGATAAGTCTACCTTAGTTTGACCAGACACACAAAACATTTGTCTTCCCTATTTAGCCATTGTGTTTTTTTAGATTGTCTCACAAGACAGCATAATGAGTATCCTCTGAGATCTGCTGACGGGGGACGACGTCTGACTCTCGAGGGTTCTGCTGGAAACATCCTTTACTAAACCACCCGCATGTGATATAAAGGGGTTAATGATGTTTTTATCTCTCTCTCCTTGTCTTTCTGTAGCTATCTCTCTGATCTGGATCGTATCGCCGAGCCCTCCTACCTTCCCACCCAGCAGGATGTTCTGAGGGTTCGAATCCCGACCACGGGGATTATTGAATACCCGTTCGACCTTCAAAGCATCATTTTCAGGTAGAGGACACAGACCAATTATTCGTCAGCTTTCGTTTGAAATTTAGGAACTTAGCACTTAATTTAGGTTAGCATTGAGAATACATCCATGGAGGAGAGTTATTAATATTTTCCCGAGCTGAAGACGACTTTCTAGTGTGTGACCTACAAAGATACAGCCCACATCAGTCAAAGTTGTCTAAATTGCACTTCTGTTGATTTTTTTTTTTCTTTTGTTTTTATTGAGCCATCAAAACAATTTCTAATTCTCTTTTAAGAGAGGAGCACTGACAAATTTAAATAAGTATTATGTACACTAATGTTCAAAAAGTTTGGGGTTGGTAAGGTATTTTAATGCTTTTGAAAGAAATGCTCACCCAGGCTGCATTGATTTGATCAAAAATACAATAGAAACTGTAATATTGTGAAATATTACAAATTAAAACAAGTGTTTTCTATTTGAGTGTATTTTAATAGTGTAATTTATTCCTGTGATGCAAAGCTGAATTTTCAGCATCATTACTCCAGTCTTCAGTGTCACATGATCCTTCAGGAATCATTCTAATATGCGGTTTTGATACGCAGGAAACATTTTTTATTATTATCAGTGTTGAAAACAGTTGCACTATGTATAACTTTTAAAAAAAAGTTTTACAAAATATTTATTTAACAGTATATTTTGATGAATAGAACATTCAAAAGAACAGCATTTATTTTAAAAATCTTTTGTAACATTATACATGTTTTTACTGTAAGTTGTGATCAATTTAATGCATCTTTGCTTGATAAAAGTATAAATTTCCTTTGAGCTGTAGTGAGTGCAGAGACATAGCAACCCCTTGCTTATTGAAAGACATTGATTATATTTTAAAGAGGTTTATTTTTCATGGTTGAAGCCTCTGTCATCCGGTCGCTGTGGTTAAACGAATGCACAAGTGGTAAATGGTAATCCCACCATGGTTAGCATTTACCGACTTCTGCCTTTTAGCGAATATAAATTCTAGATGATGTTTGAAACATTTTATTGGTAGCACTTTGTGTGTTATTGCCTGCTTAGGATGAATTACTTTGTTGTACTTGTCATTTGTTAGTCGCTTTGGATAAAAGCATCTGCTAAATTAATAATTGTTAATGTAAATCAGTGATGGTAAACATCATATAGTGTAATTAATATTCATGACCCAGGGGTGTGGCCTATGTACACAAAAAAAATAAAGTGTTGGAAGTTTCATGACAAAATTTCTATAAGTTGCACACATTTATGGACATTTAATTTTATCATATCCAGTGTGGCTGCTAGTGCTGTGTTCGATACATCGATACGACGATGTATCGTCACAGATTTCACGATACGAGTATCGATACAGCTGTCCCAGTATCGATATTGTGGCACGTGTACAGCAGTGGACCGCGCTTAATTTTAATACAAGAAAAACGTTTAAAACGGAGTAGAAAAGTGCAAGGTTTCTAAAAAATAATGAATAGAGCATAATATATAGGCTACAACAAGGTTTAATCTGGCTGCAGAGGAACACAACCGGGGTTGCCTGATATAAAGAGACGTAATCCCCAAAACAGAGCTTCCCACTTGCGCAATACGGAAATATCTGCTAAGTGTGCTACTTATCTTTGTCAACCTGGCAACCCTGTGTACGCGCTCTCTCTCCACTGTGGATAAACGCGCTTGCTTTCTGAAAACACTGGTTAGCTTGCAGTTTAGTGATCTCCACTTCAATATTCTATTCTCAGAAAAGTGTGATTCATCAAGTGTTCATTTATGAGAGAGAGAGAGAGAGAGAGGCTGTGTATGTCTGAATTACCACCATTTTGCCGCGTTTCTCTATTAACAGTGAATCTGTGGCTTTCATTCCTGTAGAAACAATGATGCTACCAGGGCTTTAATTCCTTTAGAAACAATGATGTTACCAGCTCCTTGTTGAGAAAGTTAATGTAGCTCTTGAGCGATTAAGCTATTTAGTTGATAAAATTGCGGGGCAGCGCTAAAAAGTTTGTTCTTGAATGTCTGAGTGTGGCCGCAGCGTGATCTGTGTGAGTGAATGAGCGTGTGTGCGTTAGATACAGTGAAGACAACGCATTAGTTTAGAACTCTTCTAATTTTTAGTTTTTTTAAACGTAGAGAGTGTGTTAATTTGTGCAATGATAACCTACCAGCAATGTAAATATGATTTTTTAATATATTAGAATGAGTATATTACAATATACATTTATTAGAACGAGTACATTATTATTTATGGGCTTAAAAGAGCTTACAAGATGCAAACGATCAGAATATTGTACCTGGTGGGGAGTGCCCAATGTAAACAAGAAACCTATGCCATTACCTATATTGTAGGCTACTGTGGTACAATTATGGAGGCCCTTCATAATGCAGAGGTCAACTGCCTGCTCTGCCAATAGTTAGAAATGGCACTATAATATGCAGTGTTTAATAAACGGCTGTTTTACTAAACTCTTCTGAGGTGAAATTCAATGCAATCCCGTATCGTGATATGTATCGTATCATGACCTCTGTACCGTGGTATATATCGTATCGTGACTTTGCTGGTGATACACAGCCCTAGTGGCTGCACATTTAAAACATGCTTATGAAGAGATGCTGATGAGATTTACAAAGTTTTTTTTTTTATCGTTCCTATGTGCGTGCTATGAAAATTCATGAAAACACACAAGAGATTATTTCTGCCCTCTCTGCCATATTGACTCCATAAATGATTACCATCAGCTCTGTGGTTGTTAATCTCTGTAAAACTGTCTTAAACCCTCACGCACCTCGCGTCGAGTTTCCCGGAAGAGTAAAAGTGAGCACGCACGGCCTCTCTCGCTCTCTCTGTCTGTCCTCCTGCCAAAGTTTGCTAAGTACGGAGTGAATGTGGAGACTCGTCCTACATTAAAGAGCGTGTGTATGTTCAGAAGTAGGTCACCGAGCCCCTGGCTGAAGGAAATGAGGACGCTTCTATCTGAAGGAGCTTTATTTTGGGCAGCCAATCCTAGAGGGCTTCATTTATCAAAGGCCCCTCTGTGAACTGCTGGCTCAGGACTGGAGCTCTGACTCCACTAGGGGGCGCCGTAGAAATCCTGATATCAGTGCTGGATAAACAGCACCGACTCTGGCTGAACACATTTACCATGTTTCTGAAATCTAGGGCTGCGAGTATGTTAGGAAAAGAATGCTAAAATACTACTTTTTCACTTAATGCAGTATGCATATTGTGTGTAGTATGCAAATATTTCCACAATATTTATCTTTGACTCATGTGATTGAACTGACAGATGTTTACATAAAAACATTTGCATAATACTTTCTGGTTCAAATATGTTTTATTTTTTATAGTAACCAGTATTGGTTCAAAATTAAATGCTTGCATACTGCATACTACATTGTATGCATATTACATTGTTTGGAATACTGTATATTGCCTACTGTTTTGTAAGTAGCATGTAAAACTGAAAAAGTATGCTTTATGCAATGGTAAATAAACAGTACTATACTATGTTGTTGCATCATGTTTTTTTTTTTTGCATATTTGGAAATTTCCAAGATTTGTTTTTATTTTTTTAATTTGCGTCAAATTGCATTTCAAATATTTTTATTCGCAGGATGATTCCTGGACTGGCTGGATTTAACATGTAATATATGACGAGTTTATTTGCAAAAACCGATAAACGCCACTTTAAAAAAAAAAAGAACTGAGTGCCATGCATTATTCTCCACATATAGCGTGATCTGAACCCTAAACACGTTTTGTCAAAAAAGCCAGTATTGTCCACTTTCAAGGCATCGCGAGTTCACATTTTACTGCAGAAACCGACAAGCGCCCTTGTTGTTTGTGAACAGAAGGCGAAATGTCCATTTTAGCGAATCAGCGCTCTGTATTCAGGTCAGGTGACAAGGCTGCCAGTCACTTTGAAAAGACGTGGTAGCTGAGAGGAGTTTCGTCAAAACTGACTAAAAGTGACCGAGGATGGATAATTACGATGAACTTGATGAACCCGTGATATCTTATTCAGGGCGTAAAAGGAACCTTGCAAAAGCAGCACATTACAATGGTGAGGGAAAAGCTCCGTGTATTGTGTGTAATCACATCCATACAGTTTATGATCACAACAACAACGCTTGTCAGGCATCTGCATTGTCAGCTGAGGAAATCACAAAGATAAAACAAGTGTTTTTGTTTAACTCTGAAACATGAAATGTGGCGTTATCTGCTTTTGCTAAAAAAACGACTGTTTGAGTTATCTGCTTTTTCTATAATACAAACTTTTAATATGTAAAAAAAAAAACTAGTGCTGTCAAACGATTAATCGCATCCAAAATAAAAGTTTTTGTTTACATAATATATGTATGTTTACTGTGTACATTTATTATGTGTATATATAAATACACACACATACAGTATATATTTTGAAAATATTTACATGTGAAGAGTTTGGTTCCAAAACGCGATAAACGGTATTTTTCTTTTAAGAAAATTTTAGTTTCCGCCAAAATCAGTATTGTATCTGGTCGGTATTGAAAAGTCGATTTTTAATTTAATGCAAAATGCGATATCCGCCTAGTTATTCTGTCATGTTTTCTCCCTTTCTTTCCAAACAAACACAATTCTTTCCATAACGGAGAAATGTCTCCGTGATGTCTCGTTCCCGCTCTCAGGGAACCGAGGTTATGATAGTAACCGGAAACGTTTTCCTCATCTACTTTGTGATCAACAAACAAACTTAGGGCTGCATGATAAATCGCATGTGACTGTCATGCGCATCTCGTCAGTAAAGCCGGTTCTGTGATTAATAGTAAATCTCCACCACGTGCTTTCAGATGGAGCGGCATTTAATACACAGAGCCGTATATAGATCACTGCTATATCTGTTGTAATTAAGTGCCTGCATATAAGATTAGTATTGACCAAGTTCAGAGGCTGTCATATGTGGATCAACTTACTGTGTTGTGTATTTTCAACAGTTTCAATATGAAAAATAATCTTTATATTGATTCAGTGGATTTATTGCATTTTGAAGGAAAAAAAAGTGTCATGGATTTATTGCATTTTGGGGAAAAAAATAGTACAATTTTATAATAAATCTTTGAAAATCAAAATCTGGATTTGAATTTTTAATGTTATTATAACCTAAAGATGCTATGTAAAAGTTTGAAACAGAAAATAGTGATTTTCATCTTGCCACTTTCTTGGTAAAGAAAACACATATTTACTCAAATTAATCCAAATGGATTTATAGCGTTTTGGAACCAAACTCTTCAATTATTACTCTAGTATTACTAAATATTATTAATAGTAATAATTATTGTTATTACGATGGTGATTATTATTAGTAGTAGTAGTAGTAGTAGTAGTATTTTAAATAGTAATAATATTAGTAGTAGACCTAATTACTATTATTATACCTAAATATAATACAAAGGAAAGAATGAGAGTTTTGTTCTCATTAATAATTGTTGTTGTTGGTTGTTGTTGTTGTTGTTGATGATGATATTATTATTAATGAGAACAAACCTATTTTTCCTTTGTTCCTTTCTTACCACCTCCTCACTGTAACACTTTTTTGTTCCGTTTATGTTTTTATATAAACAATAACAAATATAAACAATAAAAAGCAAAAACCAATAATATTACTATTATTAAAAAAGGTATTATATAATAAACTTATTATAAAACATTAAAATATCTAGAATATTTCAAAATGTGGCGGATTTTGCCTTTTAAATCTGCACTTTATATTGTTAATCCATTATCACAGTAGTCGTCTGTTGTAGCCCAAGAGAAAATAATAAGCCATGGATGATTTACCTCAGGTTTGTGATGCATTGCATCACATTTAACAAAGAGCCATAGAGCTCAACATTGAAGAGAAACGACTCATAAAATACATAATAGCTACATTCTTCTTGTTTAGTAATGGAAGAGAATTTTGCTCATTTTCACCTTAGCCGGAAAAAAACCCACATATTTTGCACTGTTCCACTAATTTATTATGTATAAAATCATATACAGTGCAAATTATGCAAATACCTGCATTTGTTTTCTTTAAACAGATCAAACAACGTTATCGGCCTACACACACACACACTTAAGCTCTTTGAATTAGTACCTTATTTTATTCTATAAAGAAGTGCCATGATTTGTGGCTCCATATTGATGACTCCATAAAATCCCATGGATACATTCTAGCCTCCATACTCACCATTAAGCAGAAACATAAAATGCACACTTCTGACAG